AGCCCTAAAGCCCTAAAGCCTTAAAGCCCTAAACCCTAAACCCCTAAAGCCCCAAAGCCCTAAACCCAACCGTTCGGGTTGCCGCTGAGGTGTCGCAAGTGCTGCGCATCCTCGGACCCCTCGGAGCGCCCGTAGCGGCACCGATGTACCATGGCAATTCCAGGAGTTGGGATTTAGGGTTCCGGTTTAGAGTTTAGGGTTTAGGGTTTAGGGGTTTAGGGTTTAGGGATTTAGGGATTTAGGGTTTAGGGGTTTAGGGTTTAGGGTTTAGGGTGTAGGGTTTGGGGATTTAGGGGTTTGGGGATTAGGGATTTAAGGATTTAGGGATTCAGGGATTTAGGGTTTAGGGATTTAGGGATTTGGGGTTTAGGGATTTGGGGTTTAGGGATTTCGGGATTTAGGGACTTAGGGTTTAGGGATTTATGGTAGGGATTTAAGGTTTAGGGTTAGGGATTTAGGGTTTAGGGATTTAGGATTTAGGGTTTAGGATTTAGAGCTGTGGGGGTTTAGCGATTCCGGGGTTCCGCGGTTTTGGATTTTTGTGTCCATGGGGCAGAAGACTGTGCGTCCCAAAGTCTGGCCCCTACAGCAGTGTAGAACCCTCGCAGACTTCTAGGGGCCTTCATAATTACCTATACTAGTTTGGGGTTCCATATTATAGTTATAGTATTATAGACCCCCCAAGCCCTATTCTAATTATTAAGGCCCCTGCATTAGACTTATAGAGCCTAAACCCTAAACCCTAAACCCTAAACCCTAAACCCTAAACCCTGAACTCCCTGAACCCTAAATCCTAAACCCTAAACCCTGTAAATAGCGCTAAACCCCAAAAGGCAGCTGATCCTGGGCTCTGGCACCGAGCGCCTGCTGACTCGAGAGGAGCGGTTTTGCTTTCAGGGTTTCGTGTTGGGGTCAAAGGGGTTAGGGTTTAGGGTTTAGGGTTTAGGGTTTAGGGTTTAGGATTTAGGGTTTAGGATTTAGAGTTTAGGGTTTAGGGTTTAGGGTTTAGGGGTTTAGGGTTAGGATTTAGGGTTTAGGGTTTAGCCAGAGGGGTTCAGGCTTCAGGGATTTTTTGGGGTTTAGCTTTGAGAACTGGAATCAGGTTGAGTAGCGCTGGTATTCACGATCGTTTGCTTTTAACGCATGAGGTGACTCCTATGGCGGATGTTGTAAGTGCTATACCCATCCGAAGCCCAGCGCTCCATCCTACAACATGCCCTAAACCCTAAACTCCTAAACCCTAAACCCTAACCTCTGTGGAAGCCCTCACGTAGTAAAGCCGAGGGCTGAAACCGATCCGGAACCCTCAGCAGAACCTTGGGGCGCCTGGATTGTTGGGTTTAGGGTTTAGGGTTTAGGAGTTTAGGGTTTAGGGTTTAGGGTTTAGGGGTTCTGGGCGATGGGGTTCAGGATTTCCGGGTCGCCAGGCCGGCCTGCGTAGCAAGATAGGGGCCTTAAGCACTAGAATAGGGCGTTTGAGGTCCTTTATAGTAGAATTAAAACCATAACCATCTGGCGTATCCTGCGCTAGTGTTTAGGGTTCAGGTTTAGGGTTTAGGGTTTTAGATTTAAGGTTTTAGGGCTTAGTGTTAGAGTTTAGTGTTAGGGTTCAGGGTTTAAGATGTAGGGTTTAGTGTTTAGGGTTTACCCTTGAGTCTAAACCCTGAACCTCAAAGGCTACTGAAGCGGCTAGATTCCAAGCCTACAGCAGGGGCGATCCGTCAACGTTCCGTAGAGTTAGGGGTTCTCTGCTCTTTGCAGCTCGTTTGCTCATGTGGCATACGTTTAGAATAATTCGCGTTTCGGGCTTGCGGGTGCTAAGGGTACTATGGCGGCTCCCTTAAAAGTGCTGCTAGGGTTCCTGTGAGGGGATCTAGAAGGATTCCTGCAAGGATAATTACTATTGGAGCTCCTTGGGGGTTTCCTTGAAAAGTTCTTTTGGCGTTTAGGGTTCAGGGTTTAGGGGTTTAGGGTTCAGGGTTTAGGAGTTTGGGGTTTAGGGTTTTAGGGGTTAGGGTTTGGGGAGAGGTATGCTGCTGCGACTCTGTCTGGATTTGTCACGGAGTTGCATGTAATCTCAGCATAACCTCACCCGGGTCCAACCGGCCAATCCAACTCTGGGCTTACCCCAACTCCTACCCCACATCCACTCCACCTACCCTAAACCCTAAACTGAAAAAAGACACAGGACAAGCAGTCTCTCCTGGTCATCCGGAAGATTGTGCAGATCATTCAGGCAAGCCATCCACCAGGAATTCTTCTGCGCTTTCTATGGCTTCAACTATGGCCACGGTTCAGATGGGTTTGGGATAAGTTTTGATCCTGATCCTGACATGCCGTTTCACCATGGTATAGCCTTTCGATTGCCACGGTATTCTGCGGATTAGTATCATGAATCATGACTCAATGACTATGCTTCTGTGCAGTTTTGCGGTTATCATACCTTGGTTGTCATCCATAAGGTAAGCGTTGCTTGAGACATACGGCTGATGGACAAAATCCTGCATGACCCTATATACCTAAACTAAGGGATTTATGGTACTATACTATATTTGGGTCATGCAGAATTTTGTCCATCAACAGTAGTTATACTGTCTGTCCATTTAGGATCGCAGCAGCCTACTCTGGGCGCCTGCAGCTTATTGCCCCAAGATTGGCAGGAGCACCACTTGTAGGCATTCGGTTCACCGCAGGTGCGTCGTGCGGTAAGCGTGAGCGCCGCCTGTCTGCAATGTCCATGCAGTTTCGAGTTTTACCGCGCTTGCTTTTGATGATGCTTCCAGTCCTGTTTCTATCGGATCAGTGGTCCAAAGATTTCATTGGATGGGTGCCTGAAGCACGTCGACGTGACAAAGCCAGCGGGGCTCGGGTCTTTGCATGTCAGAGCGAGATACTTGCAGCAGCTTTCCCGTCCATCAGGCCAGTCACAAGCTTTGGAACTTATTGCTGGAATCCAGAGAAAGTCAAGAAAAAGTTGAGAGTTATACAAAATGTTGGTGCGCACGACATCGCTAAAGGACTTGCCACTGCAGATGAACCTCTCAAGACGATCGTGGATCCCACAAAGATGAGCCTTCCGTGCCACTTTGCAGAGAACCTGCCTTCGCAACGAGTCCTCAACAAGTTTCCATACAGGCCGGGTTTTCTTCCAGCTCTGAGAGTTGCCAAGGCGAGGGGGCTATGCCTAAAGAATCTGGACTTTGTTCTGGATGACATCAGTCTGGGTTTCCTTGCAAGAAGAAAGCGAAACCGCCGGAAGCGTTGCAAATATTTGGTGCAGAAGTTGCCGGGCACAGATGTTATCGTGCTCGGTGTTCATGTGCCATATAGGCAAGAGCTGCACGAAATTGGATTCCAGTTTGAGCGTCTTATGACTGGTGAGCCAATGGACGGTCCCCACGATTTACGTTGGCACGGGGCCATCCAGTTGTTGGACATCGGAGGTTGGCAGGTGTTGGCCGTTGCCGAGGTTCAGGCAATGAATTCCAGGCGGATGCCAGTTGTGATCAAAAGTTCCCATCCGACGACGAGACACAGGAAAAGACATATCCTCCAGATGCTGTCCAGTGGAGCAGTGGAGCTGGTCCATGCAAAGAGGAACGGAAACACCCTGGAGGACGTCCAGGTGCAATCCTTCGAGGAGCTGGTGGCAGTGGCAGCAAGGCCAAAATCATGGACTCAAAGAGTTGACACAAACCTTGTTGCCGGGCTCTCGCAGCTTAAAGCTAATGGTGACATCAGCGCAGAGCTCGTGCATGAGGTTGCCGGCTTCTCCTCCAATTCTTCCTGCTGCTTCCGTGCACTTCGGGTCCTGCCCGTGATTTTCTTCCTTCCGCCCATGTGGTGAAGCAGCTCCTCGGACCGAACCGGAGAAGAGCGTAAGTTGCCCTTCTCTTGATATCCTGAAGGAGGTGTCCTTAAGAAACAAAAGCGCGAGTTTGAACTGGCCGTTGGGCCCGACATTCCATTGAGCTGAGTCCAAAAGGCGGGAACTGTGTTGCCAAGACACTGCAATGTTGCAAGTAGGCGGTGGGTGAAGAGGGATGATCGGGTGGCAGGCCGGCTCTATGCAGCTTTTTTTTGGTCATCGCAGCGCCAAAAGCAGCTGCGCACCAGTTTTGGTGATCCGCTAGCTCTGCACCCGGGCTTCGTTGTGCAGCCCTGTGCACACGGGGCTCGGTGATGCAAGGCTTCTGGGTCCAAATGAGGCAAATCCACGAAGGCAAAGAGGAAAAGACAGCAGCTTCCGTTTTGCGATGCCCTACCTACCTACCTACCTACCTGCCTACCTACCTACCTACCTACCTACCTACCTACCTACCCACCCACCGACCTACCTACCTACCTACCTACCTACCTACCTACCTACCTACCTACCTACCCACCTATCTACCTAGCTACCTAGCTACCTAGCTCATACCTACCTATACCTATAC